TTTCATGCCTGTCATTTCTGTCATGATTTTTGCCTTGTATTATCTAGATACATCGGTATATATAACTTTTCTTTTCTTGGTGGTTGAAACTTTTAGCTTTTTACCTTGGTTCCTTTGTAGAGCTTGACAGAAGACAAGATCAGTCTTCTCCTGCACCTGCTTGAAGATGAACTTGATCACCAAACTGATGAAAGAAAAACTGCCACCAAATTAGGCGCAGATATTCAAGTCCACGTCACTGCCTGTATTCTCTCTGTTTGTGGCTGGGCGTGTAGGTTAGTCAGCAGATTTGCCTGGGGACATGAACTATGGTATTATACACCCATATATATTAGTCACTAATAGTATTTAGAGATCACATGGTGTTTCCTGTGAGACAAACAGAGACAAAGAGAAACTGAAGATGGAGTGTGGGCGGTAAGAATCAGTGACAAAACCAGAATTAGAACACAGGAATTCCTGAACACACTTGCACTTTGTTTCTTTTACTGTCGCTTCCTAGTTGGGAATTTGTGTTCCCATAAACAGTGAAGCCCCTTCCTATTCTCAGAAAGGAAGAAAAATCAGTTCAATTGATATAAACTACCAGAGGAAATGCCAGTTGGAGTCTTCTGGGCCCCCATGTTGGTGTTTCCATGCCAGGTGCTGGATTAGGCATAGACCGCCTCTGAGATAGAAGGCTATCAGAACCAATCCTGATTTACTTTGTTTTTTATGGTAGATTAAGGAATAATTTTCATTTAAAAGGGAAAAAGTTTTAAGTGAGACAGGGAAATTTGTAAAATATAACCTTTGAATAGTCTTGCCACAGAAGAGCATACCAAGGCCCCTAGATATTTCTATAAAAATAAGTGACAGATGCTGAAGTTGGGGTCCTGAGATCAGAGGACAGCGTTCCTGAGAAGCTGCGGTTCCCAGTCACTGGGCTGTTGTAGAGATCTGTTTGGTGAGATAAAGCATTACACTTAGTTCCTTGGAAATGTTACCCTTTGAGAAAACGTACTTTCTTTTCTGTTCTTACCTAGTTCTTCCTTGGAGCCCATGCAGCTCTCCCTGATAACATGTTCACAGTGCATGAGGAAGGTTGGGCTCTGGGGCTTCCAGCAGCTTGAGTCATCCATGGCCGACCTGGATTCGTCCTTTGGCCTGACCAGCTCCCCCATCCTAGGCCCTGACGGGCGGCCAGAGCGCTTCCTTTTGGTGCCCGAGTCTCCTCGGAGGATGATGACTCGGAGCCAGGATGCCACGTTTTCCCCAGGCTCGGAGCAGGTATAGACTTAATTGGCTTGTTTGGAGTGGATGTTTTAAAAACCAGCATTCTTGCCAAAAGTGTTGTTGGTGGAAAAGTTGGAAACTAGCTTAGGTGGGTAGGCTTCGCTTCTAACCACATTGATCGGAATACCATGTAGTGGTTTTATTCACCAGTTACAATGGAAAAGCTAAATTTATTATTTTGTATAGAAGTCTAATATTCTTTGAAGAGTTGAGTTATATAGATAGCTCAAAAACTAAATTATTAGAGTTTAAACTATGAAATACTGACTTTCACGTGCTTCTGGAACTATTTCTTCTGGCCACAGTCATTAATAACACTGCATACTTTCGTTACCTCTTCTTTCCTTCAGGCTGAGAGGAGCCCAGCTCCCATCTTCTCCCGAACCCGGAGCGGGGACTCTTCCAGTCCTGTTGACCGTCCTGAGCCAGAGGCTGCTAGTCCCACCACCAGAACCCGCCCGGTGACCCGAAGCATGGGAACAGGAGACACGGCCGGCCTGGAGGTGCCATCTAGTCCTCTCCGGAGAGCCAAACGAGCTCGCCTCTGCTCTTCCAGCAGCTCGGTGAGTCCGCCTGCACGTGTGGAAGTCACCGAGCCCACCGTGAAGGGTGGAGAAGCGGGCACGAGCCCGTCCCTGGGCCTGTGGCCATAAGTAGACCGTGTGTATAAATCTGAAGATGAGACGGTTGGGTGACCAAACGGAAAGCAGTGCAGGGTTTTGTCGTTCGTTTCTTCGGGATGGATCCTAGAGAGGCGATAAACACTTGAAGCACATAGGACAGCAATGAGATGGGAGGACAGACCTGAGAAGGTGGGGTTTGTTTGACATGAAGGGAGTGAATTTGAAAAGCAAGCGGGTAATGCATAGGCAAAGCTTAAAGGAGAGCATAAAACTAGAAACAGGGGCGCTCTGAGTGTGGACTCGACGCCTCTCCGAAGTCACGGAGCGCCTGCCCTGCGTTAACCCGCTTTCCCCCCCTCCTCCCTCAGGACACATCCTCCCGAAGCTTCTTCGATCCCACCTCTCAGCACAGAGACTGGTGCCCCTGGGTGAATATCACACTTGGCAAGGAAATCAGGGAGAATGGTGAAACTGAGGTAGCTGCCAGCGCGCCTGCAGAAGCGGGCTGGAAGTCAGTGCTGAGCATCCTCTTGGCCCACAAACAGTCTAACCAGCCAGCGGAAACAGACTCCATGGTGAGATAAGCCGTCATCCTGATCGTGTGCAGCGCTTGCTGTTTATAGGATGAGGAGCAGGGCCCAGTCCTATAATTAGCGCCCTGCCTGCCCTCAGCTTTCACGAGTCAAGTTAGACTCAGTCCGATTTCATCCTAGAGAACAGGCCTGGAATTGGTTCAGTGTCTCTGCAGTTCAGCACATGACATTCCATCAAATTCTGATAAATCCTTTCTCTCTTCAACTAAAATGACTCAGAGAAAAAGGAGTAGAAAAAAAGAAAGATGAATAGGCAGCTGTTCTGGCCTCATGTTGCAGAACAGCTGCTATTTCCATCAGTCGTTGTAACTTATATTTGGAGCCTGGCCAGTTAACTGTCTGCGCTCTGACACCAACCTTATAACTTCATTCCTCACGGTGGGCTGCTCTGTGATGCAGCCCCAGACTTGTGCGTTGATCCTCAGCTAACACAGCGATGACCGCTGCTAGTTACAAATGTGGGGAAATGCCAATCCATCCTGACAGCTGAGAAAACAAGTCAAATGTTCTCTCTGTGTAAAGGCTAGAAGTGATAGGGTGAGCATTAAGGAGTCGTGAAAGCTGGGTTCTCTTTCTTTTGTTGGCTCATTCTCTAAGTTGCCTCATAGCCTGCCTGGTATAAATATAATCATTTCTGACCTCTGTTCCCTCCAAGGATAAAGTTAAATAATACTCAACAGCAGATGTTTATAAGAAGCATTCCCAGATTCATGGAACTACAGTGATGCTAAAACCCCAAGAGTGTACATTCGTACTCTGAATAAATATATAGATAAAGGTTTTCCAAGTTTTTTTGCAGGAAAAAAACTTGAAAACTTGCAAATACATAAAACTGTCTGAAGACAGATGTTTGACCCACCTCTCAAATTAGAGAGATTAGATCTATCTTTGCACATAAATCCTCTCTGCCTAGAGCCTCTTGAAATAGTGTACTGACAGTTTTTATTAACTCCTCTCTGTCACTGTCATCACTAACAAGAAACACCACAGTACTTTTTTTTTTTTTTTTTTGTAATGGGAAAAGTAGGTCTTATAATTAGCCCTGCATTCCAGGACTTTTAAAATCTTTTTTAGTAGCTTGTCTTTTAACCTTCCCACAGCTGCTATGACTGGGAAGTACAAAGCTTACTGAGGCTGTGGTAAAGGATCTTGATGTTAGAAAAAAGCTTATACTATTTTTCATCTTAAGTTTGTTTCAACTTTGTTACTTTACTAACTGAGTTGCCCTCAGTCACTAGTAGGAGCTCAAATTTTTCCCTCCTGAGCCTTTATTTTATTGAGACATCCACAAAGAGGATAGGAAAACAGTGAAAATGTCGTCTTATGTCAGAAACGGAGGTAACTTAGTGAATTATCCTTTTGGATGTTATTTGTGCTCTCACTGAGACCCTGGGCTCTTTACTGTGACTCTCAAAGGCAGAGGAAACCAAGTGTTCTGACTTACTGAGAATGTTTATCTTTTAGTGAATTGTTTTGTCGCCCTGTAACACCATTTTTCAGAATCTCAGATCACTTCACAGGCACGATCAAGTGGCAGTGAGATTCTTCCTATTATTAGCTTGACTGGCTAATACATGAAGCTGAGAAGGCCAAGGTCATAATTTAAACTCTTAAGGGTCATTTAGTTTTATTTCTTGGCCTTGGATTATACTGTTAACCTCAGTGAGGCATCGCATAAATGTGAGTCCTTGTTTACAAGAAATAATGAACCAGGGCCAATTCAGCATCACAGATGAGAAGCCAGCGTAAAATGTTGCCACACTATGGTGTGTCAGAAGTGTCATCCTCACATGCAAAGATAAGGACAGATACGGATACTTGGAGGGAGGACATGAGCCAGATTTTCGCGGCTCAGAGTGTGCTAGCAGGAATCTAACAGTAGAGCACAAGCTTCTTGATAGTTAGTCTGGCTTTAAGCATATTATGTATAGCACTATATAAAATTAACTTGTTTTACTCAATTCTAGACATATCTAGATCATTGTAGGAGAAATTTACAGACCAAGCCTTAAAGCTGTTATATATCTTTTGTCTATATAAAAGAATTTAATCTCTAATAATGAGCTTTTCTCCCTTTAGAGCCTGTCTGAGAAATCAAGGAAGGTATTCCGAATATTCCGGCAGTGGGAATCTTTATGCTCATCCTGAAGATACTTCAGCCTTTTCTGGAGAGAAGTAAAATGAGTGACTTTGAAAAATAAAGTCCGAATTCCCTTTTGATCAGCTTATCTCCGTTCTGGCTTAATCATAAGGAGCCCCTGCGCTTTCAAAGGCAGTGATTGTCACCGTCTGCATCTGACAGAGGAGAAACCTGTTTCCACACAGGAATGGACAGGGTGAGACACAGCAAGCCTGGTTCTGTTAAAGGAGTGTGCGGTTATGAGACTAGACGGAGGACCAAGGACTTGAGCGCTTTTAGTGTCTTTAATGTGGAGAAGTGTTTTAAGGACTCATATCCCAGGAATATGACATGTGTTAATAAAATTTTTGTTAAAATTCTTGCTGCTGGAGACCTGTTTTCCCCCTTGCCTTCTGGGACTGAGACTGAGCAGAGACCGAGAAAACTTCAGTGGAGCAGCAGACAGTCAAAATTTTAGTTTTTCACTTGGCTACAAAGCTTAAAATTTATTTGTGTTTCTAGTCAAAGAGGTATTCCTAAGCCAGAGCCAAGATGGTGTTCATTTT